CCCTCTCCCCTACTCCTCTCTTCCTCTTCCTCTTCCCCTTCTTACCCTCTCTCCTTCTCCCTTCCATCTTCCTCTCCTTTCCTCCCTCTTCCTTCTCTCCCCTTTCCTCTCCTCTCCTGCTCTCTTCCTTTCCTTCTTCCCTTGCCTCTCCCCTACTTCTCTCTTCTTCCTCTTCCCCTTCCTGCCCTCTCTCCTTCTCCTTCTCCCTTCCATCTTCCTCTCCTCACCTCTATCTTCCTTCTCGCCCCTTTCCTCTCCTGCTCTCTTCCTTTCCTTCTTCCCTTGCCTCTCCCCTACTTCTCTCTTCTTCCTCTTCCCCTTCCTGCCCTCTCTCCTCCTCCTTCTCCCTTCCATCTTCCTTTCCTTCCTCTTCTTTCTCTCCACTCTCCTCTCCTGCTCTCTTCCCTTCCTTCTTCCCTTGCCTCTCCCCTACTCCTCTCTTCCTCTTCCCCTTCCTATCCTCTCTCCTTCTCCCTTCCATCTTCCTTTCCTTTCCTCCCTCTTCCTTCTCTTCCCTCTCCTCTCCTCTCTTTCTTTCCTTCTTCCCTTGCCTTTCCCCTCCTCCTCTCTTCTTTCTCTTCCCCTTCCTGCCCTTTCTCCTTCTCTCTTCCATCTTCCTCTCCTCCTCTATCTTCCTTCTCTCCCCTTTCCTCTCCTGCTCTCTTCCTTTCCTTCTTCCCTTGCCTCTCCCCTACTCCTCTCTTCTTCCTCTTCCCCTTCCTGCCCTCTCTCCTCATTCTCCCTTCCATCTTCCTTTCCTCCCTCTTCCTTCTCTCTCCTTTCCTCTCCTCTACTCCTCTCTTCCCCTTCCCCTTCTCCCCACATTGTCATCTTTGTCACCAAAAGAAGAGTTTGCCAGTCCAGCGACCTGTAAATTCCCCGAGTCAACCAGGTGGCATCGAATTTATGCGGTGTAACCTGTTTCCTAGGTATTTATTATTATTTCCTCATCCTTTCAGGTGAGCGTCAGCCTCCACGCCGAGCTGCTAAAAAAGACAACAATTTCATCCCGGCTTCCCAGGTGAGAGCAGCTGGATTTGGGTATCGGGAGCTGTTCTTTTTAAAAAAATATATATTTCCAAAATCCCCCTGGCATCATCCCATTGAAAAGTGGCATGATATTTAAATGAACCTCAACGATGAGAAACGTCGGCTGAGGATGGCATCCTTTTATTCATGAATTTCTTGGAATCGAGGAGGCTCGAAGGGCGTCCAGAATGGATTGTTGTTGTTGTTGTTGTTGTTGTTGTTATTTTGCATTGTTTTCGTAAAGGAGGCCTCTTTTCAAAAAAGAATTGGAGTGGGGGAAAAATGGATGGATGATAACTTTTCTCTCTATCTCCCCTCTTCTCTTCTTCTCTTCTTTCTGTCTCTCCCTTCCTCTCATCTTTTCTTCATTCCTCCCCTTCTTCCTCTCCTTCTTTTCTCTCCCCTCCTTTTCTTCTTTCCTCTCTTCTTCTCTTCTTTCCTCCCCTCCCTCCTCGTCTTCTTTCCTTCTTTCCTCTCCCCTCCTTTTCTTCTTCCGTCTCTTCTTTCCTTCTTTCCTCCCCTCCCTTCTCTGCTCTTCTTATTTCCTCTCTTCTCGTCTTTCTTCTTTCCTCTTCTCCCTTCTCTTCTTCTTTTCTTCTTTCCTCCCTTCTTTTTACTTTCATCTCTTCCCCTCTCTCTTTCCCTCTCCTCTCCTTCTTTTCTCTTCTCTCCTTTTCTTCTTTCCTTTCTTCTTTCCTTCTTTCCTCCCCTCCCTCCTCTTCTTCTTTCCTTCTTTCCTCTCCCCTCCTTTTCTTCTTTCTTCTTTCCTTCTTTCCTCCCCTCCCTTCTCTGTTCTTATCTCCTCTCTTCTCATCTTTCCTCTCCTCCCTTCTCTTTTCTTCTTTCCTCCCTTCTCTTTTTTTTCTTTCATCTCTTCCCCTCTCTCTTTCCCTCTCCTCTCTTTCTTTCCTCTTCTCTCCTTTTCTTCTTTCCTCTTCCCTCCTTTTCTTCTTTCCTTTCTTCTGTCCTTCTTTCCTCCCCTCCCTCCTCTTCTTCTTTCCTTCTTTCCTCTCCCCTCCTTTCCTTCTTTCCTCCCCTCCCTTTTCTGCTCTTCTTATCTCCTCTCTTCTCATCTTTCTTCTTTCCTCTCCTCCCTTCTCTTCTTTTCTTCTTTCCTCCCTTCTCTTCTTTTGTCTTTCATATCCTCTCTCCTTTCTTCTCCTTCTTTCCTCTTCTCCTTTTCTTCTTTCCTCCCCTCCCCTCTTCTTTTTTCTTTTCTTTCTCTTTCTCCTGCTTTCTATCTTATCCAAAACAGCTCAATACAGTTTAATAATTTTGTTTTTTTTTAAAGGGAATTTTGAACAGGGTGTTCATGCAATCTAAAAACAACCAACAAGTAGCGATGTTTAAAATTGCTTAGCAATTCCTTTTCCCCAGATTTGGGTTATTTGCTGCGGGATAAATCACTTGTCCTTGTGAATATTTAAGGCTCGGGTTAGGAAGTCTGTGGATGATGTAAAAATTTTATTTCGGTTTGCTACTTGATTTGAATAGGTAGCTTAAGCTATTTAAAAATCGGAATTTCCTGTCCTTGTTTCAGGCATTTTGCAGCTTCGAAGGAAGGGTGGAGGGGATCCCTGATCCCTGATTTTGCAATACTGGGGGGGGGGGGGATTATGGCGTCGGTGCCAATCCATCTTCTCGTTTTGGTCTTCCTTTCGGCCGTAGCCAAGACATCAACAGGTGAGTTTGGGGAAATTTTCCTTTTGTCTTCTTACAAATTTCTTTTCACCCTGCGTGCAGCTTCATCCTATTTGGCTTTTGTGAGGGTTTTTATTTGGCTGGGTTTAAAAAAGGAAACGGGGGGAGGGGGGGAGAGTTTGCGGTAAATCTCCGCGGCGGTAGAACCTCCCTGTGGAAAGGCAGTCTACCTTTAAAGGAAGGATTTCAGCTGCTGCTGTGGAGGGGCCATTCCTGAGACAGGCTGCCCTTGTTTGTAAACTAAAAAACACGAGGGGAAAGAAGGTGGATCCTTCATTTAATCCAGAAATTCCTGCCTTTTTTAAATTTTTATTTTGATGAGGGATGTTGCGTGGAAGGCGAAGGGATTTGGTTTTCTCTTTCACAATTTAAGATTAGCCGGGTGTGGTAAGAAAGAATCGGAATTCAAGCACAGCTATTTGCCCTTTTTAAAAAAGAGAGAAAGGGAGAGATGGTAGGTAGATAGATAGATATAATATATAGATAGATAGATGATAGATAGATAGATAGATAGATAGATAGATAGATAGATAGATAGATAGATAGATAGATATAGATATAGATAGATAGAGAAGGATAGATAGATAGATAGATAGAGATAGATAGATAGATAGATAGATAGATAGATAGATAGATAGATAGATAGATAGATAGATAGAGATAGATAGATAGATGATAGAAAGATAATGGATAGATAGATAGAAAGATAGATAGATGATAGATAGATAAATAAGTTAGATAATAGAAAGACAGATAACAGATATAGAGATAGAAAGATAGATATCACATAGATAGATAGAAAGATAGATGATAGATAGATAAATAAGTTAGATAATAGAAAGATAGATAATATAGAGATAGAAAGATAGATAATAGATAGAAAGATAAATATAGATAAATAAGTTAGATAATAGATAGATAACAGATATAGAGATAGATAGATAATAGATAGAAAGATAGATGATATAGATAGATAAATAAGATAATAGATAATATAGAAATAGAAAGATAGATAGATAGATAGATAGAAAGATAAATGATAGATAGATAGATAAATAAGTTAGATAATAGATGATAGATAGATATAGATAGATAATAGCGAGAGAAAGAGATAATAGCTAGAGATAGAAAAATAGATAAGATAGAGATAGATAATAGATGATAGAGATAGATAGATAATAGATAGATAGAAAGATAGAGAGATAGAAAAAGATAATAGAGATAGAAAGAAAGAGAGAGAAGATAGAAAGATAATAGAGAGATAGAATTAGATAGATAAGAGAGAGAGAGTTAGAAAGATAGACAGTAGATAGATAGGGATAGAGAAATAGAGAGAGATAGTAGAGAGAGAGAGGTATAGAAAGATAGATAATAGAGAGAGAGAGAGAGTAACTCTGCACCGTTGTAACTTTGAACCGTCACTAAAATGAACTGTTGTACATCAAGGCCCCCTACCTGTATATTCTTCATGCATCCCACCCATATATTCTAGACAGATTTTCCTAAAAACGGTTCTCCTTCTCCATTCAGGAAGCAGAGCCTGCAATCGGAAGTATTTTGGCGTGGACGCGATTGTGTGTGTTTGTAACAGTACCTATTGCGATACCCAGGATCCTGTCCGTCTCCCTCCCTTGGGTCAGTTCGTCATGTACGAAAGCAGCAAATCCGGGAACCGCCTGGAACGCAGAGAAGGTCATTTCCAGAACAAAACGACCAATCCAGGTATCTCTCCCTCGGCTGTGTCAGGACTACAAGTCCCATCTCCCCAAGTCCCAAGGGGCCGGCCAACTGCGGAAGGAAGCGGAGAGACAATTCCACCTTCTGGAGGAGACGGGCGGCGTTTATTATTATTATTCTTGCTGTTGTTATTTCAAGTTTAATGAATAAAAGAAATAACAACAACAATAATAATTTAAACTGTTACGCTTTTCCAGTCCCAGACTGTGAATTGAATTGAACATTAACCAATAATAATAATGATAATGATAATAATGATGAAACTGTTGATCACATACTCAGCTGCTGTAAAAAAAATCGCGCAGACTGATTATAAA